GTAGTTGTAACTGTAGTAATAGTAGTAGTAGTAGTAATAGCGTTTTCAAAATGAACATTTGCAAGGTAAATTTTGCCAATTGATCTTTTCGTTTTTATCTATACATTGTTTCCAGATCCTGGAATTCCGAACAACAACAATAATAATTACAACAACAATAATTACGACGACCCTGATGAAGAGGACGTGGCAGTAGAAGGTAACAGAATTATTGTGAGGTCCCTATCTACAGTTATGCAACATCAACAACAACAAAGTATTAGTTGCTGTGATAAAAGGTTAAACAGTGCAATTCAACAACGACTGCATCAGCAACAACAACCGCAACAGCATCAACTACACTATAATTTAGAATCCGATAACTCGGGGTAGGTACCATATGTGTTGTTTTATTTTGTTGCAATGAAAAAACTTCGAAGTTTTGAACATTGACAACAACAACATGTACAACAACACATACAACAACAACATATACAACAACAACATATACAACAACAACACATACAACAACAACATATACAACAACAACAACAACATACGCGACAACATCATCAACAACTTTTTTTTAATTTCAAACAGTAGGCATTTGAAAGGGAATTGGCTTTCATATTGGGAACATGAAATTGGTTTAAGTGATAAGTTGCAAGAATCGTTTAACGTTAAACAGATTAAACTGCAGACTTTTAAAGGTATGTTTGTCTGTTTGAATGTCTGTCTGACTGTCTGTCTGTCTGCCTATCTGTCTGTCGGTTTGTTTGTTGTTTATGTTGTTGATGTTGTGTTGCTAATTAGAAAGTTTTTTAATGTTTGTTTATAATTGTAATTAATAATAATAATAATTATTATTATTATAATTAATTATAATTAATTACGATAATTTCCAGGTCACTCGTCAGCCATTAAGGATATCATAGTGATGAATGGGGAGCATTCCTTTATGACGTCATCCAAAGATCATACAGTCAAACTGTGGTCACTGAGAAATAGAGATGGCGGTTCTTACGAGTATGTCTGTCTGTATATATCATTGTATGTATACTTATTCTCTCTCTTTCTCTGTCTCTCTCTTTCTCTGTCTTTCTCTTTCTCTCTCTCTCTCTCTCTCTCTCTCTTTCTCTCTCTTGTCTTTCTGTTTCTTTTCTTATACCTGCAGCATTAAATATACATTTACATACACAGGAGTCCGTGCCAATCAACATACAGTTCTCACAAAAAGCCAATATCGTCAATGTTATACATGGATATGTTGCGAACTGTTGCCTCTACTGACGGCTCTGTTCATGTTTGTTTGTTCGTTCGTTCGTTTGTTTGTTCGTTTGTTCATTTATCAGTACATACATACGTTTATTAATTCATTCTTCAATCCGTTCATCTATTCATTCATTCAATCCTTCATTTGTATATAATTCATTCATCCAATCATTCATTCACTCTTTCATTCATTTGTTCATTCATTCATTCCTTCTTTCGTTCATTCATTCATTCGTTCATTCATTCATTCATACACCCATAGATATGGGACCCGTTTAACATGGCAGTAGTTAGGAAGGTGCCCTCAAGCAGAATGCCCCCCATAAACCTCCTCGCCAGCCTCCCCCACCCCTACTCTTCCTTTGCCGTCTCTTCTAACGACTCTGTCGTCAGGTTCTGATGATGATTGTGATGATGATTGTGACTATGATTGTGATGATGATTGTGATGATGATTGTGATGATGATGGTTTCATGTTCATACTGGCCTGGTTTCATGTTCATACTGGCCTGGTTTCATGTTCATACTGGCCTGGTTTCATGTTCATACTGGCCTGGTTTCATGTTCATACTGCTGGTTTCATGTTCATAAACCCGTTGTTTCATGTTCATAAAACAATCCTAATACAAATTGCTCTATTTATAGATTTGTGGATGTTAGATCGGGCAAATTTACTCATTATATGAAAACATCCATCGTCCCTTCTGGTCAGTTTATGAGTCACATTTCTGTTATTTACTTATAATTATTTTATTTATGAATAATTATCAAGCACACACCAACACACACACACACGCACACACGCACGCACTCACATATTCACGAACTCACAGACACATACACACAGACATCTAAACTTACAAACACATATGCAAACATGCACTTCAACACACTCAACTGCTTCTCTCATTTCTTTCTCTCTTTTTCTGTCTCTCTTTTTCTGTCTCTCTTTTTCTCTCTCTCTCTCTCTCTTTCTATCTGTCTCTCTTCTCTCTCTCGCACACACACACACACACACACACACACACACACACACACACATACTCACATCCAGGATTCATCCGCAGCATGTCTACCTTGAACAACATCATGGCCATAGGTTTCTCTTCTGGCATAGTGACCTTGCTTGACCTCAGGTCGGGAGGTCACATTTCCTCGTGGAAAGGTCACGACTCGGAAATTTACGAGGTCATTTGTTATTATTACTGTTATTGCTATTGCTGTTGTCCTTGTTGTTACTAATACATAATGCAATGGTCGATTTACAAGGTGATTTGCTATTATTCTTCTTCTTATTATTATTACTATTGTTATTATTATTATTCACGTAAGCTGTGTTTGTGAAGATTAATTATGGGAGAATTTATTATATTAATAATTATTATTAAATTATAGTCTGTATTAGTAAAAATAATTAAATAAATAGATAAAAATAATGGAGGAAGGAAATAGATTGGTCACGTGTTCGCTGGACCTTTGTGTTGATATGTGGTCACTGCCGAGTGGAAAGTTGATGTTTCCATTTAAGGGTAGGTGTGTTCGTTCGTTCGTTCTTTCGTTCGTTCGTTTGCTTATTTATTCATTTATTTGTATGCTATTTGTTTGTTTGTTTGTTCGTTCGTTCGTTTGTTCGTTCGTTCGTTCGTTTGCTTATTCATTCACTTATTTGTATGCTATTTATTTGTTTTTGTTTGTTTGTTTGTTCGTTCCTTTGTTTGTTCATTCATTTGTTCATTTTCTCATTCATTCATTTTCTATTCGTTTGTTTACTTATCAATGATGATAACAAATAAATAAATAAATTGATTGATTGATTAACTAATTATAAATGGCGTAGGCATATTCGAATGCGCTCATTGGTTGAATTTTCCAAGCAACTGTCACGTGGTATCTGGTAGTCTGTCCAATAAGATTTACATGCACACAATATCCGAAACAGCTGTTAGTGGAATGAATGAGTGAATGAATGAATGAATATGAATGAATGAATGAATATGAATGAATGAATGAATGAATGAATGAATGAATGAATGAATGAATGAATGAATGAGTGAGTGAGTGAGTGAGTGAGTGAGTGAGTGAGTGAGTGAGTGAGTGAGTGAGTGAGTGAGTGAATGAATAAAGATATAAATGAATGGATAGGCGAAATGAGCAAATATTTTCTTGCTTATTGCTTACACATCTACTTTTACATCATCAACCAAGTGCCATTATAACATAACAACTATGAGTATTAAACAACAAGAAGAACAACAACAACAATAATAACAACAATAATAACAATAATAATAATAAACTTATTATTTAACAATAATTACTAACGTAATAATAATTTTTTTAATTGAAAAGAACCAGGAAACCACGAGCGTTAAATTGAAATCAGACCTTATAAAAGGCAATATCTCCTCGCTAGCCATTCTTCCGATGAACCATCTGCTGTTGGTTGGTTCCGAATACGGTGACGTAACACTTGTCGCTTGATTGGATGATTTCCCTTAGGCTCCTCCCCATCTCTCTTCTGATTGGTGAATTTCATCTAGACCCGTCCCCTCCCTCAGCTGATTCGATGATTTAAATATGACTTACTAAGCCATTTTTATTATTTGATTGAATGGTTTAAATGTGCTGTTTCGCTGTTTTGCTGTTTGATTAGAGGATCTCTGACGTAAGCTCTACTTTTCCTGTTTCCTGATTGGATGATTTAAATTAGGCCTAATCGCTTTCTCTGCTGTGATTGGGTGACTTGAAATCAATTGAATATATAACTCCATCTACTTGTCTTACTCTTTGATATTTCTACGTTGAAATTAAAACTCTTCACGTCCAGTGTCTGATTAATTGGTCTCTATACCTATAACCTTTATTTTGCTTTGATTGTTGTGATAATTTTGATTGTTGTTGTTGTTATTATTATTGCTATTGTTGAGGTTATTATTATTATTCATTTAATATTTAAGATGTTAAAAATGATTCTATCACAACAAACGCTCCAGTTGTTTTTTTTGGAGAAAATATAAATGGAAAAATTTATTTATTAAAATTGTTTGACATAATTTATTTATTGAAAATGTATGAGACAGTTGCTCTAAATGGTAAATAAAATGCAAAGAAATGTCAGTCTCCTAGCAGTTGAACGAATTTTTATTTACGAAATCGTCTTGCTTGACTTCAAATATTCGGACCACGAAAGCACATCAAATTTTCATCAGGCGGTCGAATATTTAATTTTACATTTTTTTTCGCTTTACCAGCCAAATTACTAATAGGTTGAAGATGATGTGCTAGTTTTACTATCAAACCGTTCTTTCATCATCTTCCATACTATGACTACGGCTACTGTCGCTAACAAAAGTAGAAAGACAGTCGTAGTCACGATAGCAGAAACGATCAAGCTTAAATTGTAAGGTGAATCTCCGGATGTCCATTCTTTAGTAGCATCTTCCTTTGAAGGGGGGATTACGCTGAAGTTGAACTGGTCGTCATGAAGATTTGTTTCGCAAAAGTAATTTTCTATGTAGCACTCATCGAAAACCAAATTGGAGTCGAACCGACCGATTATGCAGTAATTTATCGGCATTTGGCCGCTCACGAGTAAGTATTGTCCGCAAAGACATTTAAAACCGGCTTGCATCACGGCGAAGCTGCTGTTCAGATTCGAATTGCACGCAGTTTCACATTGTTGGTACGACAATCTAAAGCCAACCAGCTGAAGTGTCTCTTGCACATTTTTAAAGCATCCATTAAAAGGTTTTTTTTCGACAATTTTGGTATCAACCCAATTGGTGCACTCGATAATGATTGGACCTAAATGACCTAGAGTCTGTTCTTCGCACTTTTGCTCTCCACATCTCCCATTGAGAATGCCGCAATGAGCTTCATAGACTTCCAACTCCGATACCGCTAAAGCGTTGAAATAACTTGGCTTTCCTGGTTGTTGCAAAATGACAAATTGCGAAAGTATTGAAAAATTTTTGCATACGACCAGCATGGGATTGCCAGCTTGCACGGCCTTAGCCGGTCCTCATCCACAGAGTTTTGCGTTATTTGTGGTGTCTGTATTGCCAATTTCGTTAGATTCTTCACCAAGTATAACTAAGAAGTTATTCAATATTTCACAACTGCTGACGCAAAACTTTCCAAAAACCTTTACAACGCCGACGGAATAAAAGTTGTCAAGTTTTACGGCTATCCAATTTTGGAATATCATGAGCAAATTTTCGGTGCCGTCGAAAACACCGTCATTTATGTATTTTGCATCCATATGTTCGTCTGAATGTGCCATACCTATATAAAATGTCTTCTCTAGAGCTAAATTTTTTTTAAAACTTCACACGAATACCACTTGTTTCTTACAGTGCCAAAGGGACAGATGCATTCAACGTACTCATAACCATTGACTGTAGACTCAATATATTTTGTCTCGTTACCACAACCGCCATTGTTCCTCGTACAATCTCTCTCTCTACAAGAATCTCCCTTCCAGCCTTCGTCACATGCAGCTGAACACTTTGTTTCTACTTTATAATTTTCGTCTCCACAATGCGAGTAGGTCGACTGGCCTCGTTGAAACTCGTACGTAGGACGTGTTGAATACAATACAGATAATTCATACCAATGTTTATCGTAACAACGGCAAATTTCGTTTTCGTTATGCAAACATCTGTCACATTTCAACACTAATCCGAAGAAACCAGAGATAATAGAATTATTGAAACATGTGCACTCCAATGATTGTAATGGGTCCATTGAAAAGTGTGCGGTGTTCATTTCCAGACAGAAATGCGCACGCATCTCAAGATTATACAGTGGTGGTAAAAGCAGTTTCCATTTCTCGTATGAACCGCTGTGATGATACATTATTCCATGGTGTTTTTCCCGCGGTTTAGCTTTATAAACTGAGTAGAACCGCTTACCACCGCAGGCGTTACCGTTTTCACAGGGAACATCACATCGCGAGGAAGCCACAGCAGCCTCCATTCGCTCAACGCAACTGCATTGTTTGCCGTTCCCGATGGCGATAAAGTTATTTGTTTCATTTCTGCAGATGTCCAGACAGTCCTTGATGTTGGCAATGCGTTTCACGCGTGTCCAACGAATGAACTGGAAGCAACCGATGTACGAACTCTTCAGCTCAAAATAACTGCCTACAATTACGCTAAACTTCGTAACGATAACATTAACAATTACCAAACGTAGAAAATTTTTTTGTAGGTTCATTTTTGTAAAGTTTTTTGGCGAAACATTTTTTAATAATAGTTTTCATTAAATAGTTGTTTATGTTTATCGTTAGTTTTTTTTTTTCATTTTAACTTTACTGAGAAAATGGAAAATTACAGTTAGGGAAAAGTTTAAGATTCTTCGGTTAAGTCTTTAAATATTTTTTCAATTCAAACGATATTATTTCATTGAGCCATATTGGACGGTTATACCAAGCTTTAAATAGATCATTATCTTGATGTTGATTGACCAAAATGTTAGTTTTGTTTTCTAAACTTTATTTATATAAATTAAAAAATGTTTTTACAAAATCTAAAAATCTGTCGAAATTACATGTCTGAAAGGTTAGCTTGCAACCATTTCTTTTTAGGAAAAGACTTAAACTGACCATTTAAGTAAAAAAAAAGCCGTTAATGTAATGAATAAAAATTTCATGTCCAATACAATTTAGCAGGAAAATATCAGACCTATGTATATGAAAAATCTAAAAGTATAAAATTTCAAATTTATTACGATGTCTATGTTTTTTAAACTTGTAAACATTGACGTCACTGTTTGTTTACAATTAAACAACGTTACTCGCTATCAGCGATGGCTGTCAACCACTAAGTTGCCAAATAAAACAAAATCAAATAAATACATCTTAGGTTATTTTTAAACTCATATATATATATAGTTTCATATACACATATATATATATGTATGTGTTTGTATATATGTGTGTATATATATTATATATAGTTTTGTATGAATTCTGCCAAATTGTTGGCATTTCATACAATACTGAATTACAATTAAGTATGGTCTTCTTCCAACATTTACCCAAATTAACAACTTAACATAAATTAACAACTCATTAAAAAAATTTAATTAGCACTAAAAATGTACAACAGTCCTCGATACATTCACATTTGTTCGCTTCTCATGAGGGTGCTCACGGTGTTGAGAGCAGTTTTTCATTTGAAAGAATCGTACCTCGGTTTTCAATTAATCAATCAGCTTGTAAAGCGCTATTTCCGCGATGTTCAACAGTGCTACTCAATGAATTTTACAGATGGGTCTTGAGATCCGCTCTGAACTATTGAGATTAGTTTAACATTCATATTCTAAATCAACAGCATATATGCATTAATTTTTAGTTGATAATATTTCAATATAAATAATTTAACTAACCACCGATAAATCACCGCAATATTAAGGCAAACAAAATTAGCCACTATTTAAAATCAAATCCTTTATTAAAATCTTCAAAATGAACCAAGTACATTCGACTGAGCGTATTTCTGTTTTGTAGTAGATTTTGATTAGAATCATGTCGCGACAGCGAACAAAACAAGGTTCAAACACACACCACACACACACACACACACACACACAAATACATACGCGAACTAGAACAAGAAGAAAAAATTTTTGGTATAATTTCATAAAATGAAACGAAGTCAAATACTTTTTTTTGATTGCAAGCAAAAGTAGACATGGCACAAAGTCGCCATTTACAAGAAATAATAATAAGACAATAAAAATTATTATTATTAATTGCGAAACACCATGTGAGGAAGCTGGAAAGTAAAAACATGATTACGAACGAAAAATTGCAGAAGATTTGTATCATGCATCGAGCGGTTAATTGCATGTAGAAATTAATTTCAGTTCTATACATGAAATCACATTACAACAGTATATATATATATATATATATATATATATATATATATATATATATATATACATATATACACAACACACACAACCATGTTATATATACACTCAACACACACACACACACACACACACACACACACACACACACACACACACACACACAAACAAACATAGATACAAACACTCATACACAAACTACTCGTCACACATGCAAAAAGACATAGTCATTAACATAAATACAGACAGACAGACAGACAGACAGACAGATACACAGACACATATTCCCAGTTAGCCTATAGGAGCCATGGATTTGGGCCTTTGGTTTGGCACTATTTCTTGGTATACAACCTTTTCTGGCTGGCGGCTTGTTTGATGATTCATTCTCCTTGTTCACCATTTTGCTTGTTGGGTCTGAGAATTGCAATAACAATAATAAAAACAACAACAACAATAATAATAACAATAATAATAATAAAAGTCAAATTGAATTGGATGCGTTTTGTGCAAATTTAAGACAAAACAAAAATCGTCTCTATCAAAATAAAGAAAAAAATCAGGAAGTAATTAGCTAACTCGCTCCGTCGACGCTAACGCACGACTTATTAAGAGCGGCTACGCCACCACTACCACCACCACCACTACAGCTAACATCCTGAGTGGAGGAAGATGAAGACGATGCAGATGCCACGGCCAAAACCGCGACCGAACTTCTAAAATTAGGAGCCGGATTGGCTTTGTGAACAGTCAGAGCTCTCAGCTTTTTGGTTTCTTGCAGCTTCTCCTCTTCTTTTCGTCGCTCTGCCAGCAGTCTCTCCTCCTCCTTGCGCTGTTCCTTCAGTTTCACGTACGACTCCCACTCTGCCCGTTTCTCAGCTCGTTGCTGCGTGTTCAAGCTGAAGGCTGCATGGTCTGTTGTTTCAGTTGTTGTTGTTGTTGTTGGTGGTGGTTTTTTTTGGTTTACGTAATTGTGGTGGTGAACTGTTGTTTGTGTTTGTCATGAGCGATAAAAACATTATCAGCCGCAGCAGCAGCAGCTACTACATCATCGTCGCCACTCACGCACATCACCAGCAACAACATCAACAACAACGCACAGACCGGTAGTATGCTGATGAGCTTTTGATGGTCTGAAGGGGTTTTTTTGCAGGACGCTAGCAGGCTTGGCTTTGAAGTTCTTCACGCTTTCTTTGTTCTCACATGACCCTGTTGTTGCTGTCGGTTGCTGTGTTTGTGACGAGTTTGAATTTTGTTACACATACACACAGACAGACAAACAGATAGACACACAGACAGACAGACACACACACAGAGACTAACCTTATTAGCAACAGCACCACTCCCATTATTACAACCGGCAACGTTTTGCTGTTGATGTACGTGATGTTGTTGTTGCTGCTTGGCTAAAGCTCTCACCTGCGTATGAAAATTAAACGGAATAGCGGCTGTAACTTTGGAATTGGCAAGATTCTGAGAAGAAGAGGATGTAGCGATTGGCTGCTGCTGCAGTTGCTTTGGCTGCAGCTGCTTCAGCTGCTGCTTCGAGGGTTTTTGACTGAAGATGATTTCTGGAAATGGTTGGGCTTTAAATATCCTCGCCTGAAAGTTGTTGCAAAGAGAATTGTTTAAAGTTTTGAGGAGTCTTGTAACAGTGAAATGGAAAAACGTTGAAGAAAACACCAGATGGAATATGACACAATGTAATACAATACAATACAATACAATACAATACAATACAATACAATACAATACAATAAAATAAAATACAACACAATACAATACAATATAATACAAATGGTAGCATAATACAAAACCCAATAAACGATACAAAACGCGGGTATAATACGAAATACAAGACCTTTTTCTCCTCATCCCAAACTTTTCTGATAAATTCCTCCTTCTTAGCCATAAGTTGTAGATCACGTTTTTCAAATGAGAATGGCTTGATCTCTGTAAGCTTGATATTCTGAGATAATTTGTACGAAACACCAGGGTGTGGTATAGCTTTTTGCATAGCTTTCTTATCATCTTCTGCCTGACGAAAGTAGTATTATTAAGATGTGAATTATTATTATTATCCATATTTTAAAATTAGCCTTTGGTAGCTGGATTGATAGAATGATTGTTTGTTAGGTGGATTGAATAATTGATTGATTGATTGATTGATAAATTAATTAATTAAAAAATTGATTGACTGATTGATTGATTGATAACAAAATTCATAACACCAAGACCCAACAAAATAGTACTCCATCAACATTAAACCGAACTAGAAAGAACATGGAAAAAAACATAGTTAAAGGCAAAAACACACTCAATAAATGATGATAACAACAACAAACAACAACGACCACGACCACGACAACAAAAGCAACAACAAGAACCAAGACCTTAACGTCAGAAATAAGTGCATTAATTATCCTTTCTTCAATGGGACCATCAAACAGCTGCCTACTATGGGAAGGTTTCATTTCCATTTCAACTTGGACATACCTCCTAAATTATAATTACAATCACACTTAATTATTTATTACATGTAAATAATTATATTTTATTATTATATATTATTATATATTATTATTATATATTATAATACATATAATATTCATTTATTTATTTGTCCATTTATTCATTGTTAGAAATTCCTTAGAAGGTAAAGTTTATATACGTAGTTGAGTCACTCTTATTTGTTTCTTAATTTATTTATTTATGATTCTAAATTATCTGAGAAAAGTATTGTTTGCAGGCGTGTTTGCACCCGCATAAATTTAAAAGTTAATCTAAACAAGAAAATAACTTTTCGGACGGAATTCTTTTCCTTTCTGCAGTCTGCTTCTCCAGTTCAGTTGAGTCGGCTGGCATTCTAAATTGCCTCATCTTCTCTCTCCCTCGATCTACCGACATCGACAATCTTTTCCTAAATTTATAACAATTATGATATTATTATAGCGATAATAAGTATTATAATTATTATAATTATTCTGCCTAACCTAGCACTATTGATGGTCAGGATGGTTCTGAACCTATTCCTACATTCGGATGGACTGGCCATGACGTCTGCAGCTTCACCTTTGCAAAAAATTATTTTAATTTTTATTATTTATTATTAAATAATTATATAATTTATCCTTAAGAATTTTTCTCAATAAATAAATGTATGAATGAAGGAATGAAAAATTAAAGAATTATTGTTGGTAGTTATGTTCAAATCATAAAAAATTAATCTTAAATAAGATTAAAATAGAACCAATATATCCAAAAAACAAAATAGTCGAAATAAAAAGTTATTTGAAAATTTTAACTTCTGGCAAAAGAGCTTTCGAGAGCCAAGCCATTATCAGTGCAATTATTGCCAACAGGGCAGTTATTTTTGGGCAAAATTAGATCACAATCCTGTTTAACTCCAACGACATTGAGCCCCGTGAAGCAATTAGCTAAATTGGTGTTGGTGGTAACGTTGTTATCACCCTCTGCTACTGTCGTTGTCGGGGAATCAGTGTCAGGCATCTCTGTGGGAATTTCTAAACCGGCGCCATTTTCAAAATTCACTTTGGTCCCAGCTTCATGGTCGTAGTCTGTTTTAAAAATTTATTTACCACTTAATTAAAAATTTAATTTAAATAAAAATTAAAAGTTTAATTTAACTAAAAAAGATGTTGTTGGTCAGTTTATTAGGAATTTCAATGCTATTTCAGACTGAATCTAAATAAGGCATAACAAAATTAAAATAAGTAGTGACATTCTTTATCTACGCTCAGTGCACACCTCACGTTAAAATAAATTAAAACTTTAATTATGAATTAGTTATAAAAAATGTTTTAGTGAAATAAATGCCACAAAAAACCATTTGAATAACTATTTTTTAAATTAAATGATAAAAATGTTTTAAAATGAACTTACTGAAATAATCTTCCAACTCTTCCAGACTGTCTACATCAAGTCCGGCAGAAATTTTTACAAAGTCAACATACTGAGGAGCATTGAAGTCCCAACTAGCCCTGGGACTGGTCATTTCGCCTCTCCCGAGCGACATTTCTTACTAATTTCACTAATTTTATTAATTTTATTAAATAAAAACTGATTAAAATGATTTAATTAATAAATAACTCTAATGGAAATTCATAAAACCCGCCTAGTTTTTAAATGAAAGGCAATGAATAAATAAGATAAGCACAGCAGGTGCGAACAGCTGATTTCAGTCTTGCCAAATTTTCAACCAAAATTGATTAAAATATTACATTTCTTTTATTATTGTTGTGTTAAATTGTGATTTAAATTTTAAAAACATTAATAATTCAATTTTGAATTGACCAAATTACTAATTTCATGACATTTATTAAATAAAATTTATTAAACAAAATCCTATACCTAAATTTCAATGGTACGGCATAAAAAAAAATTAAAAAAATTACTTTTAAATTTTTAAATTATTAATCGAAACATGCGCACTGCATTCCGGAATTAATTTTTTTAAAACATTCATTCGTGTAAGGTTCTTTTTCAAAAAGTTATCAAATTCATTTTTGTTTTTTCAAATTTACGTTTTCTTCACTAATTTGAGCATTTGATCCGACGCAATATAAACACTAAATACCGAACTGTTCTAACAACGAAAAAAAAATTTGAAAAAAAAAATGAGTCGACGAGCCCGTGACGCATTTCTGGCCTCCCCGGCAGTCGGTAATCCGTCTGTCAAACCGGAGCACGCCCCCAGAGAACGAGAGATCGAGAAAGATCTGACGAAGCAACCGCTATCAACTCTCAACAACACCAGTCAGTATCTTTCAAATAGTCATTCATCAAATACAATAAAGAGCACAACATCCTCTGGGGGCTTTTCTTTGAGGGATGGAACAGGGGATAGTGGTGGTTGCCATGAGGTTGGTTACGTCCGGCTGCCTAATCAGATTTACAGGAAGTCTGTAAAAAGAGGATTTGATTTCACTTTGATGGTTGTGGGTGAGTATGACAACTATTTATTTATTTATTATCTTTTTAATTATTTTATAATAATAGTCATTGTATTTTGAGTTTTAACTTTTAATTTTAAATTTAAAATGTAATAATTATGACATATCTATGGTTGTATGTTTATAATTTTTATCTATCAAAAATACAGTTATTTTTATAGTATACTAAATTTGAATGAACAAAAGATCCTAAGCATTAGAGTGTAATTTAAAAATATTTTGTTGTTTTTGTTAATAATAAAATCAAATAATATTATTTAAGATATTGTTTTGTTATTATTCATACTATTATAAATTTTTTTTTAATTTATTTATTTTTATTTAATTTTTTAAGGTGAGTCTGGCCTAGGGAAATCCACATTGATAAATTCCTTGTTCCTAACTGATATATACAGCGCTGAAAATCGTATGCCGGTTTTTAAAACTAAAAAGACTCTTCAAGTAATATTTCATTTGATTGATTGAATTAATGAATGAATGACCATTGAATAAATGAATGATCATTGATTGCTTGAATGACCCTTAGTTGAAATGAAGTTCTGGTTGGCTAATTGATTTATTAATTAATTATTTAATTGATTGGTTAATTGTCTGGTTCATTGGCTAGGTTGAAACAACTCAAGTCTCTTTAAGCGAAAAAGGCGTCAAGTTGAAGCTGACCATCGTCGACACTCCAGGCTTTGGAGATTTTATCGATAACACTAACTGGTTAGTGCTTCTTTCCCTCTTGCTGATTAGTGATTTTATAAAATTATTTTTTTATCTGTGTCTGTGTAATTGTGTGCGTGCGTGTCATTGTGTGTGTGTGTGCGTGTAATTGTGTGTGTGTGTGTGTGTGTGTGTGAGTGAGAGAGAGAGAGAGAGAGAGAGAGAGAGAGAGAGAGAGAGAGAGAGATAGAATGCAAGAAAAGGAAAGAGAAAGAGAAATAATTAAACAGAAATATGTTAGAAAGATGAAGAAAAAGAGAGAGAGAGAGATTACAAATGGTTATTTTTGTCATTTGTATCAATTATTTTAATTATTTTTGGCTAATTAGCTTTTGTTGTTTGTATCTCTGGGAGGAAGAAAGATAGATAGAAAGAGAGAAAGAGAGAGAGAGAAAGAAAGGGGAGAGAGAGAGGGAATTACTCCTATTATTATTTTTGTGCTTTTATGATAAGAAGAAATTATCAATCAATCATTTTTTTCTGGGAGTAGCTTTTTAGTGCTAATGATTTATCTATCTGGGAATGGAGCCATTTTGTATGTATAATAATCATTAATTATTGTTATTATTAATTATTATTATTATTATTATCGTTATTCTCTTTGTTACTGTGAGTAATTGAGGAGTTTTATTATTAAATGTGACGCTACTTATATTATAGTAGTAATAATAATGATCATGGTGTTGATGGTGATAGTATAGTAACTCTGCTGCTACTACTACTACTACTGCTACTACTACTATTACTGCTGCTGCTACTACTACTACGACGACGATGACGACTACTACTACTATTACCACTACTATAATGTACTATAATTCTGATACTCTAATATTAATACTAGATGAAATGATTTATAATAATTATATGATTCCTTCCAGTAAATAAAAATATGACATAATTATCCAATAAATATTATTATAATTATCATCATCATCGCTACTATCATCACGATCATCTTGTACCAAAAACCCTAAATACAGCTGGGAGCCGATAATAAATTACATAGACAGCAGATACGAAGAATATTTGAATGCAGAGTCTCGAGTTAATAGGGTACAGATTCTGGATTCTAGGGTCCATTGCTGTCTCTACTTTATATCACCCAATGGACATGGGTGTGTTTCTGTTTTCCTCTGTTTGTTTGTTTGCGTGCGTGTGTGTGTGTGTGTTTGTAAGTTTTTTCATTTATGTGTGTGTATCTATCTATCTATCTATCTATCTATTTAATCTTTCTAATCTATCAATTTACGTTGCGTGATTGTCTTATTAATATGGTTTGATATGAATGTATGTGTACTTATGTATATGTGTGTGTATGTGTGTGTGTGTATGTGTTCTAAGTGCGTATATGTGTTTTGTTTCTATACGTATGTGCGTGTGCGATTTGTGCCTATGCGAGTATGTGAATTATGCCCTTCGAGTTAATTTTTGTTCAAACCACGCATAACATCGGAAGATAAATTTGAAACTACTTGCAGGCTGAAAGCGTTGGACATTGAGTTTATGAAGAGACTACACGACAAGGTTAACATTATTCCTCTGATTGCCAAAGCTGACTCGATGACTAAGGAAGAAGTTACTGAATTCAAGAAAATTGTGAGTCTGTGAGTCTGCCTGTGTGTGTCTCTGTGTGTGTGTCTCTGTGTGTGCGTGCGTATGTACACACGTGTGTGTTTAATAAATAATAATAATAATAGTAACTGTTCTCCACTGAAGATTTTACAAGAGATAGCAGAGAACAAGATAAACATTTACGATTTCCCAGTTAACTCCAACATTAACTCCATCAGTTCAGATGACGATGAGAGAATGCTCAAGTTATACAAGGTTGTTTGCGTTTGTGTGCGTGTGTGTGTGCGTGCGTGTGTGTCACCGTCATTATCCCTTCCCTACCATCGTGACCAGGATAGAGTGCCATTTGCTGTAGTTGGGAGTAACACCCTGATTGAAACTTCCCAGGGTCGAAAGGTCAGAGGTCGTATGTACCCGTGGGGGGCTGTCGAAGGTTAAAGTTTATTTATATTATTATTGTTGTTGTTGTTTTTTTGTTGTTTTTGCTGTTTCATCTTTCTCAGTTTTTTAATTTTAATTTTCAGTTGAGAAGTTGGAGCATAATGATTTCACGGCTCTGAAAAACATGCTTATAGGGTATATGTGTGTGTGTGCGTGTGTGTTTGTGTTTGTACGTGTGTGTATTTACTTTTATTTGTGTGTGTATGTGTGTATGTTTGTTTGTGTGTGTGTACTGAACCTATGCCTCTCTGATTTGTTTTAGTCCATATTTGATGGGGCTGATGGAATAAAATTAGTAGTTTATTGATCGGTTGACTCATTCATTTGTACTTCCGTTCACTTATTTCATTCATTCACTCACTTCATTCATTCACTCATTCATTCACTCAGGATGCATATGCAAGACGCGCATTCGCTCATTCATTCATTCATTCATTCATCAATGCAGGATGCATATGCAAGACTTAAAAGACGTTACGAATAACGTTCACTATGAGAACTTCAGATTCAACAGACTGGCCTGTCTCGATGGTCCCTCCAATAGGAATAACAATAATAAAGCTGTTGTTCATTCTGATAAGTATGTCGTTGTTGTTTGGTTTGTTGTTGTTGTTTGTTTGTAGGGTTTACACCATCAACATCAACCAAAACAGATTATTACTGAATCTTGTTTTTACATGTTATCACACAACAAACCCACGCACGCACACGCGCACACGCACACAGGAGTCCGATGTTACAGATAGAGGAGGAGAAGAGAGAGCACGTGCAGAAGATGAAGAAGATGGAGCTGGAGATGGAACAAGTTTTCCAGATGAAGGTCAAGGAGAAAGTTCAGAAACTGCATGACTCTGAAATCGATGTCAGTCAGATGAATTAAAAAATTATGACATGATGAAAAAATTGTGACATAATAAAAAAATTAGGACTTAATGAAAAAATTATGACATAATAAAAAATTATGACATAATAAAAAAATTATGGAAAAATAAAAAAATTCAGCTGCATAGACGAGCTGAGCAGATGAAAAAAAACCTGGAGCAGCAAGAAAAGGAACTGGAGGAGAGGATCCAGGCTTTTGAGGCAGAGCGGGACGCCTGGGAAGAACAAAATAGGAGTCTGGTGATCCTGGATGACTCGTTGGTTATGATGGCGATGGTGGTGAATGAATGAGTGAGTGAATGATTGTTTGAGTGAATGAATGAGAGAATGAATGATTATTTGAGTGAATAGATGAATGAATGAATCATTTGATGAACGAAGGAATGATGAATGAAGGATAGATTGACTTAATAAATTTTATTGTTTCATTCATTTATTCATTCATTCATTCATTCATAATTTCATTGAACAGGGCATCAAAGAAAGATAAAAAGAAGTCATTATTCTGATGAATTGTAATAATAATATTAATATTAATCGTGTTATTAATATTATTATTATTATTATTATTATTATTATTATTATTATTATTATTATTGTTATTATTATTTGTAACCGTTCACGGACAGATAAATATACGAACGATTGATACAGACAAAACTTAGTTACATTATGATTTGTTTCACATTGTTAATTAATTAAATGTTTTTGTATGTATGTATGTATGCGAGTGTGCGTGTGTGTGTTTGTGTGTGCAAACATTATAATCATGGTCGTATATATAATTTCTTTATAATATTTTTCACAATTAATTTGAATCGTGTCATACGTTTGTTACATTCATTTTTAAGCCAGACTACTAGTCATGTGTGTGTGTGTTTGTCGGTTTAATTCCTTTTTTTAGTTTTTTTTTATCGGTCAGTCATTCGTTTATTCATTCATTCATTCATTCACACATACAAAATCATTCGTTCGTTTATTCATTCATGTATGATAATCTCTTGCAACTGAATTGTGTGTAATTTTTCTACTGTCAGTTTATTGCTTTAATTGGTCATAATTATATATATATATATGTGTGTGTGTGTGTGTGTGTGTGCGCCTACGTATAAACATTATACCTTTGTATTTTTTTTACATTTTATCAGCTTGCTTCATTTATTGTAGTATAATTCTATGTATATGTGTATATATGTATGTATTATGTTTCTGGTTGCGTGTTATCCATTAGCATTATTAGTATTGAATCATGTTTCATTCTTGTATTTTCATTACAAAATTGTGCATGCATGTATGTTTGTTTGGGTGTGTGTGTATGTGTTTGTATGTATATTTGTATGTATGTATGTGTGTGTGTGTATATCCAGAAATAGCTAAACCCATTTTTTTTATGTAATTACAACAAATATTGTTTGTGCATTTTTGGCACCGGATTATGAATTCATTCATTCATTCATTCATTAATTGATTAATTAATTCATTCATCTTCAGTGTTAGGAAAATGATTGTTTTAATTACTTAATTCATTTATTTTTTGAAAGGCTTAATTAAATGAGGTTTTAAAATTTTAAACTCGGTAATAAACTAGTATGCTTCACTCATTCGTTCGTTCGTTCATTCACTCGTTCATTCATCCATTCATTCACTCATTTGTTCATTCATCCATTCAGTCAGCCATTCGTTTAGTCATTCATTTTTTTTTTAAATAAAAATACTACTGCCCAAATGAAAGCTCACATCGTTCGGAAAATTGCTGTCTGTAGTGCTCTCCTGTTACTCGTATTCTACATCATCATCATCATCATCGTCGTCTCTAAGATCATAATCATCATCATCCTGTCTGAAGTCATCATCATCGTCGTCGTTATCATCCATTTTGCCATGTTATCTCAGATATATTCGCGATTTTGTCAATGCAGCCACTTTTCTATATTGTAGATCATTCGAATTATCATTGTTGTTCTTATTATTATTCTTATTATTATTGTTGTTGTTACTATTGTTGTTTTTATTATTATTCTTATTATTAACCTTCCTACGTCATATTTTAGCTTAATTATGTTGTCATTATCAATATTTTATTCAAGATTGCATATATATATATATATATATATATATATATATATATATATATGTATGTATATATATATATATATATTATATAACTTTAAAAAATGAATAATGGTAGTATTGTATTTCAATCCGTCGTTCCCAATTATCGTCCCAGTCCTCCCAACTCCCCATTATGGCGTCGCCTTCGCAATCCTGGTTGAAATTCCTCCATGTTGTCTGGAGCTTGTCATTTACTCTAAGAAATTAATTTGCGAGAAATATCACGAGACAAAATTTTAACAGGGAAAGATGACGAAGACGATGAAGATATTATTTTTTCTTCTATTCCAAGTCGCCGAATCCCCAAAAAAATCCTGATTGAGTAGGAAAACAGCTTGTGGTATAATCCGGTTACTACTTCCTCCACACACGCACGCACGGACACACACGTACTAACACATACACTCACACAGTTATATTTTTTAGAAACTTGGAAATAATAATGATGAACCAATTAATGAAATCGATTAAATAAACTAATTACAAAAATATTATTTTAACGGTGTTGGCTCGCGGTGGAAATTTTTAATTAATTGGGATAAAAACTAATTTAATTAACTCAATATAAACTCTATTCGTTTAATTATATAAAATGTTTATTTCATTAAAATTATAATCCAGTAGATTTTTTAAAGTATAAATAGTGTGGACGACACCGTTTTTTGTCGGTTTTGAATTTGAGAAAAAAGTTAATATTATTATTAATTAATAATTATTATAACCATTATTATTAATAATATAATAATTTTTATTTTAATCTTTTAACCGTTAGAGCAAAAACACCCAAAAAATGAAGAAAGCTTTGTTGCTCGCGTTGGTTTTCACGTGCGTAGTCGCATTAGCGAAAGAAGATAGCGACCAGCCAATAGCAGTTGAGGGTGCACCCGAAGAGCCAATCACTGAAGAGCCAAACCCTGAAGAGCCAATCCCAGACGAGGGTGAAGATGAAGATGGTGGGGATATCGATTTGCCAGTTGCAGAGGTTGGAGAGATTCACGTGACTGGTGGGTGGAGTTCCGTGAGTGAAAAATATTTACAGGACATGCGCAAATATGCCGAAAGGTCTTTAGAGCTTTTCGACGATTCAGAAACTGGTGGCCTAGCGCAAAGAATTCAGAAGATCAAATCTGCTTCTACTCAGGTTAAGTTCGTGGTGGTGTATTGTGTAGGGCATGTCAACTATATGCTGATGATTTTTTTATTTATACTTCTTATCCTCCATCTAATCTCAATAGTGTTCTCCAATCTTTCTAAATTTGAATTAACTGCCTTAATAAATCGAAACACTCTATTACTATTCCTTCTATTATCTTACCTGATTTTAAAATTCTTGATGTTTTTTCACAAGTTTTGTAGTCTAGATCTTTGATTCTATCATGTCTCTTTTTTCTCAGATTAATAATGTTACAAGAAATTTCTACTTTCTTCTACGTAGAATAAAAAACTTTTGCCTTTTCTTGGTGGTCCTACTCTTCTCTTTCTTGTTACTTCTTTAGTTAAGTTTAGAATTGATTATTGTAACTGAATCCTTAAATTATTTATCATAGGTGGTGAATGGTTTCAATTATAAACTAGTCATGGACGTCGGTCTGCTGAACTGTAAAGAAGAAGAAGCCTCCAGAGATGATAATGCATGCAAAGTTGTCAAGGTGAATGAATGATTGGATGGAAGAGTGAATGAATGAATGAATGGATGAATGAATGAATGACTGAATGGACGTACGAATGAATGAATGAATGGATGGATGAATGAATGAATGAAAGAATTAATGAGTCAACTAACGAATAATGGATTGATCAAAGGTAGAAACATCACTAGAGACTAGCAAACATTTTTCAAACAAACATTCTTCTCAGAGTGCAGAGTGCACCTTCATCCTCTACCAACCGTGGCCGAACATAGAGCCGAGCAGATTATCATTTGCATCTTGCGAAAGTTTTCAAGATGTTTTACAAATGGGATGACTTTTTAAGGATTTTACTGATAAAATTAAATTAAATTTTATAAAGATATTTCTTTTTTAAATGTTTTTAATAAAAATGAAAATTTTTGGGTGATATCATTAATCATCGTAGCATTTGTTAGAGAAGGGACTTTTAAAGGATTTGACTGGTAAAATTAAATTAAATTTAAAAAGAATATTTTTTTTAAAATGATTTTTAATAAAATGAAAATGTTTTGGGGAGTATCATTATCATCGTAGTCATTGTAAGAGACGGAGAAAAAGAGAGAAAGAGAGAGGGTATCATAGAGATAATGAGAGTAGGAAAGAGAGTTGATGTGATGTGACAGATAGATATGATTCGAAGTTGTTATATAATAATTAAAAGGTCTTCCTTGACTCAATTGTACAGTTGGTTTGATTGTTTGTAAGTGTGTGTGTTTGTGTGTCTGTGGTGTTGTTTATTTGTTTGATTATTTTTTTTTATCTTATATTTGTTTATATAATTCACTTTTTCATTAATTGGTATATTTATTCATTCATCCATTCATTTTTTCACTAATTCATTAATTCACATACTCATTCATCCAACTATTCACTCACTCACTCACTCACTCACTCACTCACTCACTCACTCACTCATTCATTTTTTTATTAACTTTATTTTTTAATTTATTTCTTTCTATTTATAAGTGTTCGTGATAGCATTGCCTTGGGGCCTATGCCTTCTTTAGTGTAATTGGCTTGATTCGGACAATGGTGAGAAAGACAAATTGATGGAATGAGTGAGTGAGTGATTGAGTGAGTGAGTGAATGAGTAAGGGAGTGACTGAGTGAGCGAGTGAGTGAGTGAATGAATAGATAAATTGATAGATATATAAACTAAATGACGAACAAACGAAACGAACGAACGATTTATTAAAACGAACGAAAAAAGCGAACGGAAGAACGGACAAACAGACGAATGAATGAATGAATGAATGAATGAATGAAAGATAGATTGATAGATAGATAGATTGAAAGATAAATAGATAATACTAGTCTATTGTCATTTTTTGATTACTCAAACTGCAGACTGAAAAATAGATTTCCCGGGACTTTTAATTAAAAACATCAGATCATTAGTATTTAACAACTACCATGGCATTTATGTTCGTTTGTATGTTTGTTTATTTGTTTGTATGTATGTTTTGTTTGTTTGTTTGCATGTATGTGTGTATGTACGTGTGTATGGTTTATCAGTTTGAACAAAGACACCATTTGTAGATTTGTCAATTTTATTTCAATGTTAAATCAGGCTAACAAATTGTCAATGTTAAATGGCAGATGATCATGACGAGATGTTTTAACGTGTGATATTACTGAAATACTATTATTACTTGTGTTAGTAGTAGAATTAGTAGCTGTAGTAGTAGTAGTAGTAGAAGTAGTAGTAGTAATAGTAGTGTCAGTTTCGTATTCATTTTTTGTACAAAACGATTTAATATCCCTACAACTTGACAGCCTTTCCAGATAACGACTCCAACTCCTATTGAGATGATGATCCGAGACGAGACGGCGATTCGAGACGAGACGATTATCGTTATTATTATTATCATTGTTATCATTATTATTATTATTATAAATATTATTATTATTATTAATTGTTGTCCAGTGAGAGGCAACTTGCTTTCTTGAATAGTTGAGCCTGTAATAACTCTTCAGAAGTAATTCTAACCATTTCCTTCGATCGTCGTCGTAATAAGAATAATTATAATAGTAATAATAATTATTATTATTATGAATATTATTATTATTGTTGTTGTTGTTGATGTTGTTGTTAATGTTATCAACGTTAACGTTATTAATCCAGCTTTTTCTCGCATCAGTTTCTTTTATTTCTTGGGTGAAATCTTCAACTGCATAATCATTGTAATCGTTTGTAGCTTTAATCAGTTCTAAGCAACAACTTGCAACATCTTCATCTTCATCATCAGCAGCAACATCAGCAGCAGCAACATCAGCAGCAGCAACATCATCATCAGTAGCAGCAGTAGTAGCACCAGCTTCATCGTCGACACGAACATCGCTATCAATATCATCAACAACTATATCATACCCATCACATGTACCATATACATAGTCATCATCATTTTGATTATCATCAACATCGTCTTCATCATCATCATTTTCTCTATCATCATTGTTATCAATTTCTTTGTAAACATTTCCCGTTAAAAATACATCACCCGCCAAAATATTTTCAACCCCATTTTTCGCTAAGAGCCCATTTTGAATTGAATATGAGTTTATCTTTTTCTCATTTCGACATTTTTTCAATCCCAATCTACCATTTGTTTTAACTAAAAAATTGGTAGTAGTAGAAAAAGAAGCAGCAGAAGTAATAGTATTAGTAGTAAAAGTAGTAGTAGTAGTAGTAGTAGAAGTAGTAGTGGTAGTAGTAGTAGAAGTAGTAGTGGTAGTAGTAGCAGAAATAGTAGTAGTAGTTGTTGTTGAATTAGTTGCAGTAGTAATATCATTCCAGCCACTGATAGTATTACATTTACAGTTATTTTTACTTCTACTACAGTTATTACTACTGCTGCAGCTACTGCTACTACCACTGTTGACGTGGCGGCTGTGGTCGTTGTCGTTGATTGGTTGGCCACTACATGATGACCTTGGGGCGTTGTTTGCGGGCCTGCCCGGGGCACGTTTTGTGTGCTCCTTTCGGCGCCATTTTGCTCGTCTGTTTTGGAACCATATCTGTGTAGGAGTGTGTTTGTGTTATTATTATTATTACTATTATTATTATTGTTAGTAGTAGTAGTAGTAGTAGTAGTAGTAGTAGTAGTAGAAGTATTAAAATATGTAAAACCTGTAAAGTGGAGTTAGATAGACCCAGTTTTTGGGATAGTATCAGGCACGTGTTTGTATCCGGATAGTGATGAGATAGGAAAGTTTTTTCTAAGATTTCGAGCTGAACGCTCGTGAAGTTGGTGCGGATTCGTTTCTTTCTTATTGTTGTTGCGTTGTTGTTGTTGTTGTTGATGATGTCGTTATTATTATTATTATTGTTGTTGTAGTTGTTGTTGTTTGGAGTGGCGATGGTATAGTATTTGTTGTAGATTTTGTTGTTGGCGATGTATTTATTGTTGTTACTGTAGTTGCTGTAGTCGTTGATGTTGTCGTCGTTGATGCTGTTGTTGCTGTTGTTGTTGATGTTGTTGGTAGAAGGTTTTTTGCCAAAACTGAACGCATCGAATTTGTCGAATTTTCTTTCTTGGGGACTGTTAAGAGTCAAGTAAACATTTCTACCGTTACACTTGTTTTTGTTGCCGCTGTAGTTGTATAAATAATTGAAGTAACCATTCATAGTGTTGTTGATGTTTTATTTCGAAATGGAAGTGCATCAAATTGAAACTACTACTTTACATACAGCATTACTTATATAAACGTGGTTAAAATTTAATTACACAAAGACGTGTACGTATACACATACATACACATGCACACACACGCACATACATACATACACATATACATACATGCATACATACATACATACACAAACAAACAAACATACATACATACATACATACTTACATACATACATACATACATCACACACACATACATATATACATACATACATACATATACATACATACATACATAAAATAATATAGACTATAAAATGAAGGAGTTGATGATGATGATAGCGGCTACCTTAAGTCTGATTGGTCAGTTTATTGACATGCTGTTATCTTATAGGTCAGTGTACTGAGCACCTATTGGTCGATAAGTGATAATCTTCAAGTGTTTAACACTTTATAAGACATTTCGCGGCGAATACACACACATACACACACACATACATACATACATACATACATACATACATACACACATACATACATACATACATACATACATACATACATACATACATACATACATACATACATACATACATACATACATACATACATACATACATACATACATACATACATACATACATACATACATACATACATACATACATACATACATACATACATACATACATACATACATACATACATACATACATACATACATACATACATACATACATACATACATACATACATACATACATAATACATAGATTATTATTGAATGTTTATTAGGCCGTAATACATTTTTTAATTAAGTGAATGAATGAATGAATGAATGAATGAATGAATAGATGAATGAATAGATGAATGAATGAATGAGTAAAGGAATGATAATGAGTGACTGAATTAAAGATTAACTAATTAACGAATGATTGAATAGAAGAAGAAAAGTTGTCCTTTTTCTAAAATTGAATCAAAAATTGAAATTAACGGAACATAAATATTAAATAATATACACGCAAACACACCCACACCACACATACATACCCATACACACACACACACACACACACACACACACACACACACACACCACGAAATAAAATGAAATATTCATCTAGGTGATTTAAATAGACAACCACCCAGTTATATATACTCATACTCTTACTTCTATAATTATTAGTATTGTTATTATTATTTTTGTTATTATTATTATTGTTATTATTATTATTAAACACGCGAGCACACCGCCAGAATAACAGATCCCATCATTCATAACGAGATAATATAGACACGCGCCCGTACCAGAGATTCTAATGATGTATTACTACCTGTCTGTATATTTGTGTGTGTGTGTGTGTGTGTGTGTATCTGTATTTGTGTGTGTATCTGTATTTGTGTGCGTGTGTATCTGTATTTTTGTGTGTGTGTGTGTGTCTGTATTTGTTTGTGTGTGTGTATCTGTATTTGTGGTAGCGTCTCTCTCTCTCTCTCTCTCTCTCTCTCTCTCTCTCTCTCTCTCTCTATTAAGTGACATTCGGCCTTCTGAAAGATCTTAGATGACTTCTTAGCCCAAAATCTGATGCGCATAGTTTAGCACAATACCACAATGGAGCATCGAGGACCAGTTGGTTTCAATTCTCATGATGTTGCTGCATGACGGATGATAAGTCGACGCATGTAAGAGGCCTGTATGTCCATTCCAACATAAGTCTTGTGAGACCAGCTTCACAAATCTTCTTCACATGTGAACCGCCAATCTTTCGCAATTTTTACAAGTCCAGCCGAGTTGATGTTAAATTTCTGAAGTACGCTTTTCACTTGATCTACGATTCGCTTCTTTGGCCAACCGACTGAACATCAGCCATTTGATAGCTCGCTGCCTAACAATCAACCTACGAAGCAGACGAGATCCCGCCATACAAATAACACGACCTATCCAGTGCAGATGTTGTTGTTGTAACAAAAAGCTGATATTCAGCCTGTGTAGTATATTCAGTCTTAAACATATCTGTGAGGGTTTTTTTTTTTCTGATGGTGTTGGCAGGAGTGGTAGCGCTGTAAGAGTATTCGAATTCAAAAATCCTATCGGGTGATACTTTGCTTTCCGCCTTGAGTAGTTGTATGTTAAAGAGGTACCAGAGATCCTAACGATGTATTACTACTTGTATGTATATGTAAGTGTATCTGTATTTGTGTGGGTATCTGTATTTGTGTGTGTATCTGTATTTGTGTATCTGTATTTGTGTAGCGCCTCTTTCTCTCTCTCTCTCTTTCTCCTCAGTTCTTGGATTTTGGTAGGCAGTTAAGTAACAAAAATCACTTTTTCTATACTTTTTATTTAACCAGAAAATAAATAAAGCAATTAAATGAACGATTTGTATAAACTTATTAATTAAAATAATGATTCAATTTGTCAAATTACGCAATAAATAAATAAATTAATAATAACAAAATTATTATCTGTATGTATATGTATAATTCTGTTTTTAATATGGTGAAAAAACACAGGTGAAGCGTGAACAACCGATTGATACATACACACACACACACACACACACACACACACACACACACACACACACACACACACACACATACACACACACACACTCACATACACACACACAATCACACATCCGAACACACATTGCATTGCGAATGAAAATTTTTTCAAATTAATTCAACATATAATATATATAAACAAATAAATAAACTAGAAAGAAAAAATAAATAATATTTTTGTTAAAAGGACATTTGTCTTAAACGAGGCATGATATTGATGTACACAAATAAATCGATAGATAATAAACAACCAAAGAACAAACAACCAAAGAAGTGACAACCAAAGAACAAACAGTCAAAGAGCAAACAATCAAAAACAATAAGCCAACAAGAGATAAACAAAAAATCAACAAACAAATAATAAACAAACAAAGAATCAAAAAACAAAGAAACAACAAACAAAGAATCAACAAACAAAGAATAAACAATACAAAAACCGCAAACCTCTTAAAACGATAATCAAATCAAAATTAAGTCAAAAAATTTGAATTAATCCACCTCATGAACTGATAGAGAGGGTTAACAGAATGAATGAATGATTGATTGAATGAGTAAAATAAAAGATTAAACTAATCTATTGATACGACTAAACAATTTAAAATTATAAATTAAAGGGAAAAAAATTTAGAGAAAAATATATCATATTGATGTAATTCAAAAATACGGAGTAACTAAATCTGTGTATATATATATATATATATGTATATATATATATAATGAGAACGCCTTTACATTTGAGAAATCATACAATATAGATAGATGAATGTATGGATGGATGAGTGGAAAACCCGATAGATAGATAGATGGATGGATGGATAGATGGATGGATCAATAAACGAATACTCTATAGCTACTTACTGATTGGTTGTCATTTTAATCACAATCATCTTGAAGACCGTCATCATCATTCCAATCATAACAACCATCATCAGTGCCTTCGTTGTGAACTTAACCTTCTCGTCAACAAAATCGTTGCAATAATCATATATACATACATACATACACAGACATACAAACACACACATACAAACAAAAATACAAACACACACACACACATACAAGCAAACGAATACAACACACACACCACACAAATTATATATATACACACATAATGGAATGAACTAAAATATGTATGAGATAATCCTAAACACGTGAAAATAGAAATTTGATTTTCCTTATACGCAAAAAAAACGAACAAAAAGTGAAATAAAATAAGTATTAATATTAAAAAAATATTATCAATAATTCAAAACTATATTATATATATAATATATATACTTAATAACACACACACACATACGTACACGCACACACACATACGTACACACAAGCACACATTCTACTCACTTATCCAAAAAGAGTAGTAGCCTGTAGAAGCCAGCCAAAAACTAGGCGGGAATAAGGAAAGGTTATATATTAATACCTAAGAATATTTATATAAGTATATTCAATGAATATACACACTATCTCTAAATCTCTCCCTCCTTTCTTCTCTCTCTTTCTCTCATTCTCCATGCCCAATTAGTATTTGTAGCTATAGAAAAGCAACAACAACATTGATTTACACAGCTATCAATTTTAGTAGCATATAAAGCGTATAATTTCAAAGATATGAACCGACATACTAACGAATGAAGCATAAATAACATATATGGAGAGAGAGAGAGTGAGAAAGAAAGAGAAAAATTGAGAAAATAAAGATAGAGAGAGAGAGAGAAGCATATATAAAAAAGAGAGTAAGAAAATGAATTTGAAAATGAATTGGTTTTTTAACAACCAAAAAATTAAATTTCAAAGACATACGAGAAATGATATATATCTTTTTTTGTCTGTCTCTCTCTCTCCACCCCATCTCTCTCTCTATCTCCCTCTCTATATAAATATATTCTTTCTTTCTCTTTCTCTTTCCAAACCATTGGTGCAGCCGTTAGATGAATATTGAATGAATAAAAAAACAAATAAATGAATAGATGAATGAATGAAAAAGTGAAGGAACGAATGATGAAAAAGTGAATGAACGAGTATAGTTAATAAATAAATGAATGAATGTGTGAATATAAAGGATCTGCAAATGGATGAATAACTGAATGACAAATGAACAAACAGATGAACGAACGAATAATAATTAAACTAATTAATTATAATCCAACCGAATAATTTTATACAAACATCCATCCATCCATCAGAATTCCTTTTAATAAGAATTATTAAACAATTATGGTCACATAATAATCAATTGTAAACAAACTAAAACAAGTTAACATGATCAATATATATATATATATATATATATATATATATATATATATATATATATATATATATACATATATATATATATGTATATAACAATAACGATAATAGCAATAGCATCAATAATTAAAAATTTTCAAAATATATGTAGGCCGAAAAATATACACTCATATAATAAACACACACACACATGGACACACACATACACACGCACAGACACACATGGACACACACACACACGCACAGACACACACACGCACAGACATACATTTAATCTAATTTAGTGATACCATTATAATTATTAGCACTGCTCAATAAATGATTTTGGAAACCATTATTATCAGCGTGTTGTTGCTGTTGATTTTGTTTACTTGGGTTTTCCCATTCTATCGACCAATGAGAATTCTTGAAATCGAGGACAGCTGTATAATGAAAGCCAGTCACACTAAGCACTATGAAATACTCAGCTGTCGAGAAAACTGAGAAAGCTGTTTGTGATTGGTTGGTTGGTAAGATTAATTTGATTGGTTGGTTGATTTGATTGGTTGGTTGATTTGATTAGTTGGCTGATTTGATTGGTTGGTTGGTCGATTTGCAGGAGAGTTATGGTGGTTAGTTTGATTGGCTGGTTGATTGATTGGTTGACTGAATGATTGGTTATTTAATTATTACAAATAAATAAATAAATGAATAAATAAAAATAAATTTATAAAAATAATAACGTACCGCCAGGTATGCAGTAAAGCCTGTGCAGTATAAAGCAGAATAGCAAGGTAGCAGTAGACACGCATAGCATCAAAAAATAAAACCATTTCTTCTTATAAGATTTTAAAACCTTCCAAAAATTAATAAATAAGAATAATTATAAAATTTATTATTATTATTGCCAACGAAGACTTGATAATTATTATTTAGAAATGAATAAGGTTATAAAAAAAAATAAAAACAATATTAATAACAATAATAATGATAATAATAAACCAAAATAGAAAAAAATAACTCCACTTACGTGCTCGAAACTCTTCATATCGCTGAAACACCAAGGGTAGATTACCATTGTACATATTTGGTGTATAACTGCTGCGAACATGAAGACTATAAAAATCTTTTCATGTATGGCTGCCAGAAAAATTAATTAATTTTATTATTAAAAATATAAATTATTTTCAATAATTAAATTAATATTCTTGTATCAATAAGTTTTACATGGTAATATATGAAAATATATATTTTTTAAATACTAATTTTAATTCTAACTGACCATAATTTTCGACATTAGAAATATAAGAGACAAGAACTAGACATGAATTTTCTATGGTATAAAAAACAAAGACACATCGGTATAAAATTTTAAAGAGCCCTTGTAACTTCTTTGGTACCATTGACAACTTTTCATTGTAGAAATTAAGGTACATCAAGCCAATCACGAATCTGGGTGCTGAATGCAATGCAATGCCAACTCTCCAGACATAACGCGGTGGGCTTACCCCAGTTATGGCACTGACGGATGGAATATTGTTAGTGTTCTGATTGGGTGGAGAAAGTGTTCAAATAAATTAAAAATTGGAAAATAAATTAAAAAGTAGGTTCCAAATACAATACAGATTGATAAATAGCGATTGAAAAAATGATCATAAATCTCAATTTATACATAAACAACTTTTGCTAATTTAACTTACGTTACATTCAGTCTCAGTGATTTGATCATATCTGAAAAGGATGGCTGTTATGAAACAGATGATTAGTGAGAGGGAAGGCAATGAGACTGTTACCAAGCCGATCGTAGAGAAGTTCAAAGATATTTTTGATTTAGTTTTCTCTTTATTATCCATTCTTTAAAACGAAATTGAAAAAATAAATAAATAAATTTCTTAAAAATGAACAAAGACACACTTTATCACACTTTTCAATTGCTATCTGATGATTAAAAGTGAAGCATGATTATTAAAAAAGTGAACTGTTCGTAATACTCTATCATTTTTTTTTCACAAAATAACGCATTACTTAATAAAGTTTTTTATAATATTACGTTGTATATTTAACGTTTAAAACAAAAACTAACTTTTTTTTATAGATTTAAGTAATTTTTCATGATTTTAAGTAGTTTTTCATGATTTTAGTCTGCTTTGTTTTTACTGTAATGAAGCTGTGCATAATTATTTGAAACAAGTTTTAAATTAAAGACAAACTTTAGTTATAACGAATTCCGAGAATTAGGATCCCTGAATTTTTGAAAATCGGACCGATCTTAAATTCAGCAACTTAATTTTATTGTAAAATCACTAAATGAAATGTTGTCTACTCGAAATTTGTATAAATTCAAAGTCAATTTTTCCTTTTTATCTCAGCAGTGCAAGAAATTCTCGACCACCACGGTTTTGAACAAAAATGTTAGGACCGCATGCAAGAAGGTCACGCCGAATAGGAGTCAGCCTCTAAATTACGAACAGGCCCAGAAACCGTCTCTAATTGGTCTGACGAAAAGCTGGAATTCATGGAACACAAGTCAGTATTTTATCCCCAAGTTAAGGTTAAGCATTAACTGTTTGTTAAATAAATGCTAAATCATTTATAAGTCTTTTTATTTATTATTAAATTTTAATTAAAATTGAAGTTATTTATGTTATATAAATATAATATAATTAGTGTGTCATCATATAAATGCAAAATGTCATTAACTCAAATAATTCAACTTTGTTAAAAGGCAATCTAGATGGAGTTACAGAATTCACAGCAGAAACAACATGGGAGGATGTCTTTATAAGAAAATTTGTCACTGGCACCTGGATAAATCTGTTTGCCTCTGAAATTATCATAAAACGTCGACAGAACCTTATTATAATAGCAGGAATTGTTACACAAGATGCCGTACCACGAAAGATGTATTTCTTAAAAGGCTACACTGAAGAACTTTTATCATTACTTCTGAAGAGGCCGGTTAAGATGGAGATTCAAACAGTGTCAAGCAAAAAAGATGTCATCTTCAAATGGATTTAATTTAATTTTATCTTTTCTCTGAATCAAGTCTACTGATTTTTTTTTGCGAGATTCTTTAATTATTGGTAGTTATTTCTCATGTTGATTAAGATGTCCTGTCTATATGTTGGATAATTTAACAAAATTTCAAACAAATTGCTATAAATAATTGACATATCCTCAATAGATTCCTGGTTTATTTGACATACAGTGGCACTCAACACTACTAAATAAGACATATCTCTGAAACTTTTCAGTTGTAAGAATTCTATAAAGTTTATACATAAATTAACGATAGTATCAGCTTCCCCCCACTATTTTAACTATAATTAACACTTATAAGTCTTCCTACACATGTATGCAAAATATATATATATATATATATATATATATATATATATATATATATAATCTATAAATTCTACCGAATGTTTGGCGTTAATATGTTTGTAGTTCGTTTTTTTACAATATTCTATAAATTCTACCAAATGTCTGGCGTTAATATGTGTGTAGTTACGAACTACAAACATATTAACGCCAAACATTCGGTAAAATTTATAGAATATTGTAAAAGTTATGGTCTATTACCAACATATATATATATATATATATATATATATATATATATATATATATATATATATATACGAACACTGTGTAATAATCAAAGTTAATTAATTCGCTAATAATTATCAATGTCACGTTAATTTATTAGTGAGTGAGTAATCAAAATATATAGTTCCTTGTCAACTGCCGTATAACACAAACACACACATATATATATATATATATCGTTTCATGTAAAGAAAGCTAAAGATGTATATAGAATGTATGTATGTGTATATGTATGTACACCAGCGGAACCAAAGGTAAATAAAAACAGGGACACAGCAGTCATATTCACTGACGATAATCAATAGTACGTAATAAATTAACGTTCGCCTATATATAATAATAATAAATAATTATTATAATTAGTTACAATATTTTTATTATTATTTCGTTAGAACTTACAAAATTTCAAGTCAATGTTGATTTAGGATTCAGTCTATTTCTCCACTGTTATGTAAACGGGTAGGCACGCATTTATCCCCCCCCCCCCCCTCTCACTCTCTTTCTTTCTCTCTCTCTCTCTCTCACACACACAACACACACATTCATTCATGTATCTATAGAAGTTTATTATTGTACAGCATAGCAATGTCTTTATAAATCAGGCAGTTCAAAAGACACATACAACATAAATGTGTATATTTACTAAACACACACACATACATACACACACACACACATATATATATATACACATGTGTGTTTGTGTATTTAAAGGGCCTAGAACTGATGTCGTCTGGTTAAACTTCCACCCCTAGGACCTCTGGCTCTTCTAGCTGTTTGGCCCTCTGTTAATTAATTTAATTTATATATAATATTAATAATTATTTATTTAAATTATCTACGAAGTTTGTTAAATTTTTTTAAAGTAATTTACGATGTTTATTTGTTAGCCATTATGAAGTTAAAAATTCATCAAAATTGTGTGAACATTTAAAAGCAGACTCCGATATAAATTCCACCGTACCTGCCATTCTAGAAGAAGAATTACCCCCGGGGTTATTATTATTGATAGTATTATTGCCGGCGTTACTATTACTAAAATTAGTATTCTGATTCGGTAGTAACTGCTCTGAGGACATCAGTGGAATGACATTAGCTCTAGTTATGCCTCCTCGATTCGAGCCGGCATTTGGACCGCCTCTAGTCTGTTGGTTACCACCACCCATTCCACCACGGTTTCCTCTAGTCATTCTTCCAGTATTTGGCGGTTGTTGTTGTTGTAATAGCTGCTGCTGCATTTGCTGCTGCTGTAGGTACGCTTTTCTGGTCTGCATACTGAACTGGGATGTTGGCATGGTTGGATGTGGTTGCTGTTGTTGTTGCTGCTGCATGAATGTCGACGCTTGGCCCGTTGACGTTATGAGTGGAACTGCTGATGTCGTCGCTGTGGTTGCCGCTGACAATGCTTCGCCCCAGAATATTCTATTTATCTTTGGTTTCTGTTGGACTAGTTTTAAAAATTTTAATTTTTGACAAAATTTTTTCAGAAAAAAATGAAAAAAAATAAAAACAATAATAGCAATATTAATGACTTAGAATACAGTTATCATTTCTCACTTGGAGCAATATTAGCAGAACTGGGCTGATCCAATGTGCTGGGCTGTAGCCTTGGCACCTTGAGCTGTTGTTGTTGTTGATGATGTTGTTGCTGCGATGGTCCGCTTTCATGTTGTTGTTGTTGATGCTGTTGCTGTTGACTGTGATCCAACCCATCGTCACCAGAGCCAGGAAGCAGGTTAATGTTACTACTACTGCCTTCATTATTATCATCAACCCCGCCATCGTTATCATTATCATCAGCCCCGATATCTTCGTCATCGTTATCAGCACCCCCGATTTCTCCTTTCCTATCATTATCATCACCACCGGCGGCGCCAGCGGCGTCGTCGTCAGCGGCGTCTTGGGCCGCCTCCTCAAAGTCCAGTAGATCTACGTGCGTGTCGTCAGCCCTTAGAACTGAGTCACGTGATGTAAACAAAAAATAGAGTAAACAAGAAAAACGAAAAATCAACCTCACGTAAACAAAAAGATTCCATGCCACGTACAACAAAAACAATCAGATGACGTCAGGCAAAACAACGAAGAAAGAATGAGAAAAACCACAACCACCATCATTCCCAACACCACTACCATCATCAGCCACCATCATTCCCACCATCAACCACCACCACCACCATCATTCTCACCTTGATGAGCGAGCACAGGCATGTTATTATCACCATCCTCATCGTCATCGTTTCCAGCATTTCTTTGGTGGTGGTGATGTTGCTGCTGGTGGTGGTGAAACAAATCTGTCTCTTCAGTCTGAGCTGGTGATCTGAATAAAAGAATAAAAGAGACATGCAACACACACACACTCACACACACACACACACACACTCACATGAAATACCTACCCAATTCCATCGACGTTAAACATATCGGCATGGTGTATAGACGAATTTACACCCATAAACTGATTGGTTGGAGTGCTAGGCACAATACCGTCGCCAGCTGATTCGTGTGGTACTTGCTGCTGCTGCTGTTGTGGCTGCGACTGGTGCTGCTGCTGTTGTGATGGTTAAGGAAATGATTGGTTGTGGTCTATGTTGATAAAATACCACCACAACATAGCAAATAGCAACGACAACATAATGACAGTGTTATTAATAATAAAATCTCACTTGGAAAGCAAAAGAGGAGAGAGAGGGCCTAAAATTAAAAGTCGACGGCGTCGATGACGATGTTGATGACGTCATTTCTGACGTAGTTGGATGAACGCTAGATCTTTGGCGTTGTTGTTGTTGCTGCTGCTGTGGTTGATGTGGTTGCTGCTGCTGTTCGTGAATCATTGAAATGATTTCAAGCGCCGGCATGCTGTCATCGTCAACGTCCTCATCATCGTTGTCATCTTCATTTGTAAATAAATTAGCTGATAAACTGATTAATCAATCAATAATCAATTAATTAATTAGTGATAACGACGCCAACCTTCGAGATAAATGACGTCATTATTAGTAACTTCTTCCTGAAGCATTTCATCCCCAGCGTGGCCGCCGCCCACATTGTTATCGTCATCGATGACGTCATCATCGGCAACAACGTCATCCTCTTCGTAATCGAGTTCAAGCTCTCTTTCAGGATCGGAAACCTTAATCTCCATCTCGTAGTTATTCAGTGAGTCCATGAAATTCTGGTCAGCCTGTGCGTGTTTGTGCGTGTGTGTATGCGTGCGTGTTGGTCGTTTGTTGTTAGGGAGTGTTGTTTGTTGTTTGTGTACACGTCTGTTTGTCTGTAGAAAGACATTTCATTTCACGCTAAAAGTGTTCTCTACGCGGTGTTTACATTTACAAACACACACTTATAAAAATACTTACAAAAAAACACACACACACCACACACTCACACACACACACCACACACACACTCAAACATACACACACACACGATTTTCTTAAATAATTGTGCAAGTAAAGTTGGAATGTGTTAGCTTTATAAAGAACATACAGCAACAACCTCATCAATTTCAACTTCACCACCAAGATTCTGATGATGATCCTGCATGTCGTCCCCGGCATCATTATCAGCACCACCAGCAGCTGCTGCAGTCGTGGCATTAGTGGCTACGTTTCCATCGTCGTCGACCTCGTCGCCACCATCATCGTCGACTATGTCGTCATCTTCGTCGGCTGCTGCATTCATCTCGCTGCTGCCGCTGTTCCTCTGTCGATGAGGTCATTGCATTGATGATGACGATGACGATGATGACGACGATGAGGATAGTGACGAAGGTGAGAGTGATTTGATGACGATGATGTATGTAAATTAACTAACGTCTTCATTGCCGACGATGATGATGACGTCATCGTCGTCGTTCTCATCATTCTGAACCTCGTCGCCATCGTCATCGGCAATGACAGCATCCTCATCTTCTTCCTGCTCGTCGTCGTCGTCGTCCTCCTCGTCATTTTCATCATCCTGCGATTCGTTATACTCATCCATTCCTTCCTCTACGACCATCTGTCTATCTCTTTTCCTTTGTTGTCGCCTCCGTCTTTGATGGTGCTGCTGCTGTTCTTCGTCCATCCCGCCCTGACTTTCGTCAGGATTTTCAGGATTTTGAGACTGTCCCGACGTCGTCGGATTCGAAGGATTGGTGGGATCGTACTCCAGATCTTGATAATCCGGAAGTTCGTCGAATTGCAGCATGATACTGGCGTTGTTGTTGTTGTTGTTGTTGCTGCTGCTACTACTGCTGCCATTGTTGTTAGTAGTGCTCATGTCTAGGTTGTTGCTGGCATGGTGGGATAGGTTGTGGATGCCAGTGCCCTGCTGTTGTTGTTGTGTTGTGTGATGTTGTCTGTTTGTTTGTCTGTGTGTGTGTGTGTGTGTGCGTGCATGTGTGTGTGTCTCTATTTTACTTGCGTATGTAGCATAGGATGTATGTTTATTATGTGCATACAGCGTAGAAGCTTGCATGTACACGTATATTGTATGCAAAGTGTGATGAACATGTTTTTTTTTTATTTGACTTTCAAACCTGACTGTTGTACGTATGATGGCCCTCCAAAGATGTTGTCACAGGCTCCGATTCTCTCCTCAACTATGAAGAAAATAAAAAAAGAAATACATCTACACATCCACAACAGAGAATATAAAACGTCAAGAAACATAGATAGAACAGAACATGCAAGAATAAGACACTTGAACATACCGCGATAACTTGCGACTGTTGTTGCTGCTGGGCGTGCACTTGAACCTGGTGAACCTCCACTGGCTGAGCCCTAGACACTGCCTCCCTCTCCATCTCCTGAGGAGGCAGGCTCTTGAACCCGGCGGCCAGGGCAGCCCCTGAGGAGGATGACGAAGATTGGGTAGTGTCTGCGGCTTCGCCAATCAACAGTTTCGACCTTTTGTGTGGTGCGTCCATCTCCTGCTGATCTGATTGGTCGTCTGGTCTGTGTGGTTGGTTATTTGTTCGTTTGTACGTTCACGTGTTTGTTCGTTTGCACGTTCACGTGTTTGTTCGATTGCACGTTCAAGTGTTTGCGCCTACAGACAGACATTTACTTACAATGAAATTACTATGAAATGTGAAAAAATGGAAAGACTCTTACAGGTTACTTTCCTCTCTCTGCCTCTTGACAGCACTGCCACCCAGCAAGACGACCGAGCCAACAGCAGAGCCCACAGCACCACCCATGCTACCGATAAGTCCAACGCCACTACCACTACTACCACCGCTGTGGCCGCTACCACTCGCCCCAGACCCCCCTGCCTGGTGCTGCTGTGACGTCATCGCCTGTCCATCGCCGACCATCAGGGCGGCTATGCTTTGAGGCGTCTGCGAATTGTGCTCCTCTCCGGATGATGACACTGAAGGGTTGGGGCGAGTGGATGGGTGAATTAGAAGGGTTGGGGCGAGTGGATTAGAAGGGTTGGATGAATGGATGGGTGAATTAGAAGGGGTGGATGAATGGATGGATGAGCGAATTAGTAGGATGTAGGATGTGTATTATTGAGAAGATGATTCATTAGTGAACGAGAACAGCTTCAAAGGAAACAAGCATACACAAACAAAACACGGAGAAAGCCAAACCAAAAAACAGATACAGACATGCACACAATCTTAGAAATTGAGACACCGAGACATACCAGTAGACTCCTCGGTGTGTGAGACAGGCTGTACTTGCTGAGTCGGCCTCATGGTTGCAGCAGGCTGGCTAGACGAAGATGACGTCGATGACGACGTTGAAGTCGATTGCGACAGCAACAACACTGTTGCACTCTCATCTTTTGGAGAAAATTATAAAACAGTTAGTTTTCTAAAAAGTTTAGTCCTCACAACTTGCAATCCAGACGACAGAGCAACGACAATCACAAAAACAACAACAACATTCCATCTTAATGAAGAGACGGGAAACGAACTTTCTTGGGACGACGAGGAAGACGAAGAAGACGATGTGTTGATCGCAGTTGGCATAACAGTAGCCATCGGAGTTGACGACATGGACATGATGACGGCCTGCGACTGACTGACCACAGCCATCGGCCTGATTGACGCCACCATCGTCGAGGCGAGCACGTCAGCGCTGCGTCGTACTGGCTGAACAGGAGTTGAATAACGTTGCTGATGGTGGTGATGCACTGATTGTGCAGTAGCTGCAGATGTGGCCGTGGTCGTATTTGGCGGATTCGTCATCGGGCGAATGTTAGCGCGACGAGTAGTCAGAGTAGCAGACATGGTGTTGCTAGTAGTGGTGCCGCTGATGTGGCTGTTGCTGCTGCTGCTGCTGTGTTCGAGCAGTGAAGATGAGGAGGAAGTTGACGAAGTTGACTGGCTGCCTGAGCTGATGGTTTGTTTTTTTACATAGTAGTTGTTTTTATTTTGTTCTAGGATCAATGAGCTGTGGTAGACATACAAACACACAAAGAGATACAAACATATTCCTTTCAACGGGTGGTGCAGAAAGGATGGGTTTCGTGGAGGGCTGCTGTGCTGCTGTCTTGTTCCTCAGCATCTCAATCTCCTTATGCAACGAATTCACCTGGGCACGAAATTCCGTGGGGAACATTTTTAAAATCTAGAATTAACATACTAGTAAGAAAAAAAAATGAATGAATGAATGAATGAATAAATGAATGAATAAATGAATGAATGAATGAACGAAAGAATGATTGAACGTGTAAAAAAGGAATGAAATAAAATAACGCCAATCCATCTTACTCTCTGCTTCAGTTCAATGTTTTCTCTAGAAAGCTTATCATTGGTTAGATGGATTTGTTGTTGTTGTTGATGTTGTTGATGCTGTTGTTGTTGTTGATGTTGTTGTTGATCGTCCAAATCTGTAAACAAAAGAAAACACCAAATTGCACAAAAGAGAGAAAAAAAATTAAATTTAAAGTCCAACTCACCAGATGTCTGCTGCTCTTTATCATTCCTCTCCTTAGCGGATGTCGTGCCGGAAGTTGAGGGAGCCGTGGAAGAAGCAGAGGCCGTTTCGTTACCAACTGAAGCCATTCTCGCCAAATCCTCCTTCTCCTCCATCAACTTTTTCACATCAACTTTCAAATTCTCAATGCAGGTCTTTGCATTTACCATGAAACCACGGCACTGGTTGTATTTCTTCTCTAGCTCCTTCTTTTCTTCCACTAACTTGTTAGTGTCGTCGGCGATACGCACGTTCTCCTCAGATAGGCGAGTGTTCTCTCTGGCGTAGGTGATGTTATCCTCAAGGGTCTGATCGTGTTCTCGCTTCAGTCGTTCCATCTCCAATGTGGCGGTCTTCGAGTTCTCGTCTAATCTCCGTAGCTCTTCTGTCAGGTGGTGTGTAGCCGACTCTAAGGATTGTTTATCCCTCGACAGCTGGTTCGATTCCTGCTCGAGTTGGTTGGGCGTGGTTTGTTGTTTAGAATTAGAGTGTAAGTGTAAGTAAGTGTAAGTAAATAACGACAGTCTTTTGATCTTTAAAAAATAATCATCGACATTATCAGCAAACCAAAACAGCAAGCAGTACCTGTTTTAAAGCAGTAATTTCAGTCTGCAACTGCCTCTCAACCGCCTCTAGATCCCGCAACTTTTTCGCAACCATCTGCTCTTGAGTCTCGGAATGGGTCAGGCTAATAATTAGGCCGTCTAGCTCCTTTTGCTTCCGTTGCAGTTTCTCGCTTTCCAGTGCAAGTTGTTGCTCCATGGATTGAAGTTTTCCTGTCGTTGTGGTAGATAACGATGTTGTTGTTGTTGTTGTGAATGTTGTTGTTGTTGTGTGTGGTGGCTGTATATGTTTTCCACGTTGTAGAATTGTAGTAACGTTGTTGTTGTTGTGAATGTTGTTGTTCTTCTGATCGCAGAAGATAGTATCATTGATTTTGTGTGAAAAAAAAACATAAATAAAATAATAAAATTATTTCATAAAAAAAACGTCAGTGACCTTGCAATTCGTTAACAAGCCCTGATTGGTCCTGTTTCACCTTCAGGGCCTCGACCTCCTTCTGTAACTCCTCCCACTGCATCTTGTATTTCCGGCCAATTTTCCGTAACTTGAGTGGGGAAAAAAATTTAATTTATTCCATATTATATCATTTTATCATCAAGAGATGACGCAATGGCTAGAGCGCCTGGTCCCGATGCTGCAGTGACTGGGCTTGAATGCAAGGAGATCCCAACCTATCACATACAGTGTATGTATGTGTGCATGTGAGTGTGCGTGCGTGTGTATGTGCATGAGAATGAGAATGAGTCAATGAGTCAACTCTGAGAATGAGTCAATTATTAAGAAAAAGTTAACGTCTTAATTTTAATAAATACAATTAGTTATAATTCGCACAAATATATATACACACACACACACACACACACATATATATATATATATATATATATATATATACATATAATTATATATCTTTATAATTATATTTATAATTAATTAATTAAATTATTATAATTACTACCTGAGTGGCTGTCTTCGACTTTTCCTCCGATTCGGTCTGCAACTTCTCTATCTTGTCATTGGCCGCTGCCATACTCTCTTCTGATTTCTCCAGACTTAGGTTCAACTCTACTACTTTGGTTCTATGAATGAATGGATGGATGGATGGACGGATGAACGAATGAATGATTGATTGATTGAATAATAGAAATGCACCATCAGTCAAAATAGTGGATCAACTATTCAAAAACCCCAAAATTTTGTGTAAAAATTCTGTTTTCTAGAATGAAAACTAAGATATTGAAAGAAAATTATTCCTTTCTACTCAATTACTCGTAAGAATGATTGTATACAAACTGTAGGGCAGTTATCTGCAGTTGGCACTTTGAAACTTCTGCCGTCAGCTGGTGCACGACCTCCTGGCTTGATTCATTCTTGGCTTTCAGCAAATCTCTCTCGTCACTATAATAATAATGATAATAATATAATTATAATAATAATAATATAAGTAATAGTAGTAGTAGTAACAACAACAGCAAAAAACCAACATGGCGTTTTTCAACTCTTCAGGATCAAACTTGTTGCACTGCTCGATAAGTTGTGTCGTCCTCTTTTTCCACTTCTCGGCTTCAGCCCGCGACAATTCCAACTCCTTCTGGATGACCAGTTTGTCGCTCTCCAAATCCTGGCATCTGTTCTCCAAAGGCTCCATCTGGCTTTCCATTTCCGCCATCTAGTTGAGCGAGAGAAGGGATTGAATAGATGGATGAATGAATGAATGAATGAGTGAATGAATGAGTGAATGTATTAAATGAATTAGTGAATGAATGAGTAACTCAAAAATGAATAAATAACAAACTTTTATAAAAACAAACAGCCAAACAATCATCAAATCGTTCAGCCAACCCACCAATCAACCAAGCAACCAGCCAACCAGTTAGCCAACTAACCTTCGTTTGTAGCTCTCTCATCTTTGAGGATATCCTATCTCTCTCCTCTCTCAGCAGCTGGTTGCTGTCCTGCAGCAAGTGGACTGTTTCCACTTTCCGTAGCATCTCTACGTGGTCAGCTGCCGATTGCAGTTTGATCTGGAAGATGATGATGATCATCATTATTATCATCTTCTTCTTCATCATCATCAACATCATCAACAACATCATGACGATCAAACCCCACCATCATCGTCATTATCATCATCATTATCAAAACTTGCTTGAGCTTTCTCTCTCTCTTTTGTCAGGCTCTCTTCAGTTTCTTCCAGCTGTCGCTTCAAAATTCCCACCTGTGTTCTCAGCCTCTTAGTTTCACTTTCGATTCCCTCGAATTTCGCCTCTGAAATTTCTTTTTCTCTCCGAAGGTATCTTAAAAGAAAAAATAAAATAATGTGACAGACACGCACACACACCCACACACACACACACACACACTTGATGATAGCATGTAATTGTTCTGGGCTCTTCTCGACAACAACAACAGAATCATCTAAACTCGTTGGTGCTGTTGTTGTAGCTGACGTTGAGCCATCCAGCTGGGATGTCAATGATTTCATCAACTCTTTATCTTCTTCATCTTTCTTCTTCAGTTCCACCATCTTCTCAGATAGCTGTGTGTGTGTTTGCGTGTGTGTTGTGTTTGCGTATGTGTTTGTATGTGTGATGGTGTTCGGTTTTGAATTATTATATTTTATTACCGTGTTATCATCGTCATCAAAAACATTTTCCTCATCTGTCATTTTTTCTTTCTTTCCCAATCACAATCCCCAGATCTTAAACATCATCATCATCATCATCATCACAACCACCTCAAACATCATCATCATCAACACCATTAGCGACAGCAGCAGCAGCTACAGCAGCGACAGCACCAACCTTCCACATCTCATCATGCAGTAGGTTGTTCTGTGCTTTCGTGGACGCAATGGCTTCCTTCAGCACGTTCAACCTACTCTTGTAATCCACCTCCTTCTCGCTCCAATTGTTCTAAATCATAGAATATTGAAATTTACCAAAGTTAAAAATGCAAAAACACACAGACACACATACAAAGATACACGTACAACTCACAAACAAACAAATACACACACACACACATACACACATTTTCAAATACACACTCATACATACAAAGATAGAGTTACAACTCACAAACACACACACACACACACACACACACACACACACATCCATATACATATTCTTAAATACACACCCATACATACAAAGGCACACAAACAAAAATAAAACACACACACCCTTTCTGCTTCACACTTAATCATGTGGTCCTTGAGCTTTAGTTCACTAGCTTCTAATTTTTCAACTGCCTCACCCAACTGCAATAATATAATATAATATAATAACGAATAATTACAATAATAATAATCATAATAACGACAACAAATAATAATAAAATTATTATTATACTTGTTTTTTGATGTTTGAGAGGGCTTCAACGTCTGCAGCGTGCAGCATTAATTCTCTCTCGTAGTTCTCGTGAGCCTTGTAGTAAAAAAAATTCATTAAATAAATTACGAAATTAGTATTAAAATACACACACACAAACACGCACACACACATACAAACAAAGACACAAACAAGAAATGAAAACACACACACACGCACGCACACACACATACACACACTGACGAACTTGTTTAGCGTCGGCAACATGGTGTTCTAGATCTTTCTTAATTAGCTCCTGCCTCTCGTCTGCCTCGGCCTTCAACATCGACACCATCCTTAGCTCTTCCTTCGCACTTTCCAACTCTAGCACTATTCCTGGGTCCTTATTATTATTATTATTATTTATATTATATTATTAATAATTCTAATTCATGTTTAACTTCTGATTATAAAAACTATGATATTATTTTAAAAACATTTGAAATTACTCCGATCGGTTTTTTTTAATATTTTAAATTTAATGTCTATTAAAATTTCATGGTCCAATACACTTATTGACAAATTGATCAACTCTGTAATCAAATCGACATACGCTATATATTGCGACAGAAACATTGTATGACCATTTTAAATAAGCCTCCTATTTGCACGAGTCAAATGATAATGAGTAATAGGGTTTTATCGTATACTTGATTATTTTTTATTAGTATTTTATCTGGATTTTTATTTGTTTATATATTATTATTATTAATATTACAATTATTATCTACATTATTATTGTTAATGTTGTCAGCATCGTAATCAAAATCTTCATCGCCATCGTTATTAACAGTCAACGATAACTGGCGTCAAAGATTTTCTGAGGTTAGAGTGGATTAGGAGTTGTATTAGTGAGTTCACAAACAAGATAGAAAAAGAATAGAACCAAAAAAAGACCAACAATAAGAGTAGGCTGTGACAATCTCTCTCTTTCTCTGGTTAATTCCTCCACTAATTTTTTCAATCTCTCGTTCTCCTCTGACAATTTCTGGCTCTCGATCGTTAGGTTATCTTTCTCCGATGTCAGCTCTTCAATTGCTACAGGAGGTTTCAATCATTCATTCATCCATCCATCCATTCTTTCATTTATCCATTTATCCATTCACTCATCCACCCATCCATCCATCCATCCATTCATTCATCAATCCATTCACTCACTCATTCATCCATCCATCCATTCATTCAGCCTGTCAGTTAAATAACCACCTTTAATGCTATTATCCAGCTGCACTTGAAGTAAATTGGTTCCATTCCTCTGCTCGTCTAGGCATCTTTCCAATTCGATGTTCATTGACTTGTAATTCTCCATCTGCTGCTCGGCCTGTGCAAACTGCTTCCGAGATGCTGATGAATGAAGATTAATTAATTATGGCGCTGTAATAAATCCATATGATAAGTATAGGCAGTTAAATTATGGCACTATAATAAATCTATATGATAAGTATAGGCAGTTAATTATGGCACTATAATAAATCTATATGATAAGTATAGGCAGTTTAATTATGGCGCTATAATAAATCTATATGACAAGTATAGGCAGTTAATTATGAAGCTATAATAATAACGATTTTCTCACGAATTTATTTAGTTAATTATGTAATTAAATCGTTTAAAAACTCTTTCTGCTAGAGAGAAAAGAGAAGGAAGGAGAGAGAGAGAGAGAGAGAGAGAGAGAGAGAGAGAGAGAGAGAGGAGAGAAAGAGAGAAAAGAGAGAGGAGAGAGAGAGAAGAGAGAGAGGAGAGAAAGAGAGAGTAAAACATTTAATTTAGATATATATGACAAATCCATATGATAAACGCCTGCAACTGATTATGAAGAAAAATGTTAAGAGACAACTAAATGAGAACCAACATTCCAATGATAGAGTTAATCTGCCATGCTTCTCTCTCAACTCATTCAATTCTCTCTTAATGTTATTGCTCTCCAAATCTAATGGTACAGATGAATGATTCAATGAATTAATTCAATCAGTCAATCATTCATTCAATCATTAATTCGTGTGTGTGTGTTTTTGTGTTTTAACTAACTGGATCTTTCCACAGTTAACTTCCCATTCAGGTCAATCACCTCTCTTTCTAACTCATCTTTCTATAAATAAAAAATTAGTAATTATGAATAGATAAAACAAACATATTATTATTTGCATAGATACAACCAACTAATCAACCAACCGACCAACTAACCAACCGACCGACCGACCGACCGACCAACCAACCAACCAGCCAGCCAACAAAACATACAGCCCAACAAGCATACCCTTTCAGTCAATTCAGCCATTTCAATAGATTTCTTGAGCAAATCCTCTTTGGCCTTTCCATACAATATCTGTTCCTCTTCTAATTGCTTTTTGCATTCAGTTAATTGCCTCTATTTAAAAAAATAATAGATAAATTGAATAAAAAAAATATATAAATTTAATAATTTTCAGATGAAAATAGCAAAGAAATAATAAAAACCTCCAAAGAATATACGAATGATTTCTGCTGGTCGTCAGCATTCTCAACTCTATTTCTCAAGACAGTGTTTTCTTTCTCCAAGTTTTCGATTCTTTGATTCAGTTTCACTTTCATCTCGAAATCCGATCTCTCTAGATTATTCTAAACCGGGAAAGAAAAAACGTTGCAATGACTTAATGATATTTTATCCACTTCTTAAGGTTAGTAGAGTGACGAACACGGACTAAGTAGTAGAACTCGACAACAATCTCACACACAAAACCAACCAACCTGTAGAGTTTCAATATTTCTAAGCAGTAGTGATCTTGAGCTGTTCTCAGATCTGACGGATTCAAGTTCGTGCCTCAAGTTCTCTTCCACTAATTTCAACTTCTCCTTCTCCACAAGCAAACTAGTGCACTGGACTTCGGCCTTTGTGGCACGCTCCTGGCATGACTTCAAGTCCTGAATAAACATACAAAAAATATACAAACATACATACAAACAATCAAACATACAAACAATCAAACATACAAACAAACAATCATACATACATACGTACATACAAACAAACAAACAAACAAACATACATACATACATACAAACAAAAAATGCGAACTTACATACATACATACAAACAAAAAATGCGAACTTACATACACTAACAAACCTCTTTAAAAAAAACGAGTGATTGTTGATGTTTAACCACATATACAGATAGCAACAATCATCAAACAAACGTACAGGAACGTGCAAAAAACATACAAAAGCAAGCATATACAAATACAAATACAAAACAAACAAACACCAACAACCATACGCCAACAAACATACAAAACAAACATACAAAGACAAACATACAAAGACAAACATACACCAACAAACCTCTCTCAAAATGACAAGGGACTGCTGATGTTTAGCCAGAGACTCAGACAGCTTATTATTTCTCTCTCTAATTAGCTCCGCCTCCCTCTTGTGACTCTCTGAATTGGACTGCCATACTTTATACCTCTCGTTCATAAACTCCAGCTGATGATTTTGATAATGATGATGACGACGACGATGAAGACGACGATGAAAATGATGACGATGATGACAGTGAAGGAAAACGACGATGATGATAATGATGATGAAGACGACAAAAATGATGGAAATGATAACATGCCTGTGAGGAGAGCTTAGTACATTTCAGTCTATATTCACTCAGCTCTTTAGCATTGCTCGTCAGCTGATCATTCAACATCCTGATCGAGTTGTAATGGCGATGATAAAAATAATATTTTAAAATTTTTGAAAAACTTTAATTCCAACTAACATTGTATAAATATTCTAGCAATAACAACAACAACAAAAATAAAAATAACAAGAAGAAGAAGAAGAAGAAGAAGAAGAAGAAGAAGAAGAAGAAGAAGAAGAAGAAGAAGAAGAAGAAGAAGAATAACCTCTCATGTTCACCCTTCTCTCTCCTGTAGACAGCAAATTCGTCCTTCAGTTCAGACAGAGTTTCCTTCAATCCATCGTATTCTTTCCTCTCCATCTCGTCTAGACGTCTGCCGGTCGTAACATTGTCTGAGAATGCATCCTTAACCTCAATACCACTTTTATTATTACTGTTGTTGTTGATGTTGTTATCTTCATCATCAATGCTAATGCTGCTATTGTTGTTAAAAATTTCTGCCACAGATGACGCTAAGGATGATCGTCTAGAACTCTGAGGCTGCATGGTTCATTCATTCATTCATTCATTCATTCATTCATTCATTCATTCATTCATTCATTCAATACAATGATCAGTTATTTAGGTCAACTAATTGGATTGAATAGTAAAATAGTTATGTTATAATTATGAATGAATGAATGTATGCGCGTATGCATGTATGTATGTTTGTTTGTTTGTATGTATGTGTGCATGTATGTGTGTGTATATGTATGTATGTGTGTATGCATGCATGTATGTATGTATGTACGTATGTAGACCAACCGTGGCCTGCTGCTGTTGTGTGGCCAGCTTTTTATACATATCTCTCTGCTGGACTATTGCTTCTACCTAGAAAAACATATTCGATAATGACGTCATTATTATCAACAACAACAACGACTACAACAACAACGACGACGACAACAACAACAAAATCTCTCTCATTATTATTTGTTGTAGTATTACTAAATATTTACAAGTGAATCAGATAATTAGACAGTAAACGCGCTATTGCAAAAATCGTGCATAACAAGTCAATACAATTTGCAGAATTAAGTGGCTAATTTACAGAGTAGACTAGCTAAACTGCATAATTAAATAGCTAATTTGAATAAGTAGCTAATTTGCATAATTTATTACCAGCTTAGCCTGCCTCTCTCTGGCCTCCTTCATATCTTCAATTTCCTTTACGGCAGATTTTAGTTCGCCCTCAAGCTTGTCAACTCTGTTAATTATTATTTTATGATAATTTTTTTTTCATCATCATT